TTGATTTGACACCGTTCATTCGATAGGGATGAAATATTTGGGAGTTCATTATAACACTCTAGAGAAGGGTTCTGTAAAAAATAATTTTTAATTTCGCAAGGGCGGCGCCACGGGAGGGTGCGATTTTTCTCTATATACGGTATATAAAAATAAATGGCGATTTTGGTTTGACACCGTTATCCGATAGCCATGAGACTTTGGGGGAGTTGATTGGAACACTCTGGGAAAGAGTTTTGTAAAAAAAAAATCATTTTTAATTTCGCAAGGGCGGCGCCACGTGAGGGTGCTTTTTTTTCTCCATATACGGTATATAAAAATAAAAAAAGTGAATTGCTTCGACACCGTTCACACGATCGCAATGAAACTTTTGGGAAGGTGTTGAGAATATTTCAGGGGAGGTTTATGCGCTAAAAACATTTTCAAATTTGCATGGGTGTCGCCCTGGCAGGGTCCGATTTGTTTTCTCTCTATATATGGTATATAAAAATAAAAGTCGATTGCGGTCTCACAACGTTCATCCGATACCCATCAAACCTAGGGACTTGATTAGAATACTCCAAGGAAGGATTCTGTATAAAATCATTTTTAATTTCGCAAGGGCGGCGCCACAGGAGGGTGCGATTTTCTCTATATTTTATCTATCTAACTATATATATAAAGCAATGTATGTCTGTGTGTCTGTGTGTGTCTTTTGTGTATTACTACACCTCTCATCACATTGCCGTGAAACTTTGGGAAGTTGTTGAGAATATTCCTGGCGAGGTGTCTGCGAAAAAAAAGATTTCAAATTTGCAGGGGTGGCGCCCAGGCAGGGCGCGTTTTTTTTCTCTATAAACTGTATATAATAATAAAAGTCGATGGCGGTTTGACACCGTTCATCCGATCGCAATTAAACTTCGGGGAGTTAATTAGAAAGCTACAGGGAAGGGTTCTGCAAAGAAATCTTTTTTTTTAAAATTTATTAAGGGCAGTGCAACGGGAGTATGCTATTTACCTCTATACACGATATACAAAATTATAAAAGTCGGATGCGGTTCGACACCGTTTACCCGAGTGCCATAAAATTTTAGGGAGTTGATGAATACTCCCGAAAAGGTTTCTTGGGGGGGGGGGGGATTTAATGTCGCACGGGCGGCCCCCGGCAGGATGCAATTTGACGCCCTGATCTGTCCCGTGAGCGCTATGGCGACTACGTTTGGTTTAAACAGTGTGATAGACAAGGATAAGATGGGTGTTACAGTCGCTCACTAAATTGAATCAGGCGTGTCCGCCGGCGCCCTGGTAGGGTGCAACTAAGCTGTGAACAAAAATTTCAGTTTCAGCCCCCAAAGGCTCACATGGACCGCTGAGGGCCCTGTAATACGTTTTATTTTAATAATCAGAAGAAATCCTGTTCATTTTTGTCACTTTAGCGAATGACGCAATCTGCATCATTGCTAACAGGATGCTATTTGGTACTCTGGGTTATCCTATGAGCACGATGGCGCCTATGTTAGTTTTAAGAAGTGGGGGCCCTACGCGGCGCCTCTGCGGTGGTGTAATCCGGGGCTCCCGAGAGCGCCCCTCTACGTCATTGACACATGGGTGGTTACCGAAGTGCGTTCTACCTCATTATTTCGCCGAGTGACTAACGTACACTCAAGGTTTTCATGCGGTAGTTTAGGTAAACTCGTGTCCCGATAATTGTTTACATTTAAATAACTCAGTTTTAGAAAACAAAGTCACGCTTGAAAGAAACCCTTCTTATTTATTTCGCTAGACGTTTTTCTACCCTTAGGGCTGCGCTGACGCGATATGTTAGGAGGATTTCCTCAGTTTATCATGATGTATTTTTAGATGCGTGACCTTGTTTTCTAAAATAAAGTTATTTAAATGTAAACAATGCTGGCGCTATATTTCTGGGATCTTAGCTGTTGTTTCGTGAATTTTCCACAATCCGCTCACACCCCACAAGTTGCGCTTTATGAAAACCTTGAATGTATGTAGATCATCCTCCGTAATACTGAGTTAGAACACACCTAAGCGACCGTTTATATGTCAGGGGCGTCGCCGTGCGTTCTCGGGAACCATCACTTACACTTGTGGCAGGGGCGGCTTGTACGGCGGCTGGATTAGGTTCAATCATCGAACTTCGTGTGCCACCGTGTCCCTATTGTAGCGTGCTCTTTAAAAATAATATAGGCGCCATTGTCCTGACGGGGGAGCCCAGGTGCTCAGCACAGCCGACCGCCGGTATCTCAGAGAGTGCGCCTGATTTGATTTAATAAACGATAATTGTAGCCCAACGTATCTATCCCGCTTTATATTTGTTAGGTTTATAGTCTGACGTGAAGTTTGTTTTTTCTTTATTAATTATTTGCCTTCTTACACACTTTTTGTTTTCGCTGACGTGAGTTTTTTTGTTTAACATTCTAGCTCTCTACCGGTAGTCAACTCCGTCCTTTAAATATATATATATATATATATATATATATATATATATATATATATATATATATATATATATATATATATATATATATATATATGTGTGTGTGTGTGTGTGTATGTATGTATACATAGGGAGTAGTTCGTGTAAATAATTTAAAACTTGTATACTTAATAAACATCTTGAAATATCTAAAGAAAAAAATTCCAAAAAAATAAAACTACTCAATAATTTAAAAGGATAATCTGTTAATGATTTATAGTAATCCCAAGTACCAACCAGAAGATGTTTTAAATCAGCATCCAAAACAATAATTCGAATGCTCAAAAGGAACTTTAAAACTTCGGGAATTCCCATTATTATAAATAATGACCTCTTGTACATGTAATAGGAAAGACCTCTGACAACTACTTGACTTACGCTAAGATCGTCGGTAATTATTTAGTTTAATATAGTTCATTAATAAATGTTGACATATTTCTTAAAATTGATTTACTTAAAAATGCAAACAGACGACTATATTTTTAAAACAAAGTAAAAATCTTTTATGACCAAGGTAAGGGCATGAAAAAGTAGTTCGGACACAAGTAAAAAGTAATGCAGTGAATATTTGTGCTATTCAAATTTACTTGTAATTACCTTTATCTTTGAGATGGTTTATTGACCATAATTTATAAATCGATACCTTTTTAAGAAATGTAAAAATAACATAAAAATATATTGATCTACTTCAGCTGCAAGGTTAAATATACACGTTACAATAATACTAAGACCTATTTTTAGAATCTACTGGACTAGCCGTTATTCCACACTATGCTGAGGACACAGAAACAGGTGAACTCTACTTCACTTTCCCCGTGTTCCCCTAAGTCCTGATAGGTAACTCTATCATTCACTTCTAAAAAAAATTAGGTGCAGAATTAGTGGGGTACTTTATTCACATCTAGATCTAGAGTCAGCGTATGAAACTTGAGTTACGCGAATAGGCCCTATTATTTAAAATTAAATTATATCCTAAATTAGCCAATTCCATAGCTAAACTAACAAAGATTTACATAAAATAAGTAAGGCCTGAAATAGTTTAGTATAGAAACTTATTATTGGCAGAGATTCTAGATCCAGAGATCTAGAGATCAAGACCTAGAATCTATTGCTGGGCTTGACTAGTTTTTCCGTAGCTATAAATAAATAACGTCCGTGTATTCTCGAATATGTGAAGATAAAAAACAAAGATTCAGACATAATATATATCAAATATTTAAGGACCAAAATAGTTTAATAAAGAAACTCAATTATTTATAGTGTTTTTTTTTGTATCTAACTAAATAGATCTAGATCTAATATATGTTTGGCCTATCGGTAGATCTAGAATCCATAGAGATCTAGTCTAGGTAAATTAATTTTATAAATTAGAAGAAATGCCCAGTGTATACTAATAAAAATTAGTGTTGGAACCTAATAAAAATAGCAAGCAGACGTATCTTTTAAGCAATAGTCGATAGAAAATTTAGCTTTATATTGCTTTAAACTTTTGAAATCGCAACTTGATCTTCCATGGAAGCCGACATATTTATTGTAAAAAAAAAAGTAAGTAATGTGACGTCACTTTAAATAAAGTAACTGTTCTAAACTTTTATAATTAAGTGGTGTTTCTACCAATGAATATATCAATAAATTAATTAACGACTTTAAATGAATTTGCGATTAAAAGATTGGTTTAAAAAAAACATTCTCTACATAAATAAGTATTTTACAGCTCTACACATAGTGCAGATGCTTTGATGCAACCAAACAGACAAAGAAAAAAAAAAGAAATATACAAACTTGTCAACAATCTTGAGTTTTAGTAGTATATAGATAGATGACAACCATATTATTTAAATAAGATATTTATTTTTTTACTTTTACTGGTTAGAATACCAAAGCGGACACATATTATATTTTAAGATATGTTATAACAACTTTTTAATGTAATGAGTAAGTAAATTATCCCAATTCGTGTACTCTTAAAGTAAATTTCCCCTTTTAGGGCAGATGAAGTAGAATTTCCCAGTCTCAGTGACTTCAACCTATCAAGGGATAGTGTGGCCAGCAATACGTCCAGCTGTCTTTACTTTTTTTAACGTGAGTTGGGTACCCATCAGAGCTGGGTCGACTCGGCTACGGATTCGAGCTTGGGATAAAAACTCCAAACTTTCAGGTTACATGTCGTTTGCTCTACTGTCCAACTACCCCGTCCCATCATACGTTCTTGCAGTGTTTCTTCCAGACTTTTTTCTCCGGGGGGGCACTTGAAATTTTCGGGGAGGGGGGGGGGGCGGTGAATATTTTTCGGGGGGGGGGGGGGGGCGGACACTAGTAAAAGTGTATGTTTACTATATAAAATCCATCTCGTTCGGGGGGGGGGGCGGTAGACTTTCTTCGGGAGCCCCCCCCCCCCCCCCCCCCCCCCCACCGAAGAGATGCCTGGAAGAAACTCTGCGTTCTTGTGACATTTTAAATATGTTTTAAATGATTGTATTCCTATCACGGGTTATTGTTTTGTATTCCACACGTTCAAGTAGAAAACACAATGGCGTCTTCAAGAAAAGGTCGTCTTAAGCTGGAGGACGAGGCTGTCTTACAGGAGAACCTGGTGTACCTGATCAAAGAGGTCGACGCCCTGGATATCGTCGATGTTTTATTTGCCAAAAATGTTTTCACCCTTGATGACAAACACGTCATCAGTGGCATGCCCACGGCCACAGGACGAATGAGGACACTCTTGGACAAACTGTTCCATGCCGGCTCGGGTCCAGCGTTTGGTCACTTTCTGGAGGCTCTGGACGAGAACTACTCGCACGTGTCAGCCCGACTGAGACAGGGAGCCTCAGCAGGTAGGTTTGGGGGGAGTCATGAATGGGGAGTAGACTTGATGTTGTTTTATGTGTCAAGTTGTGTGTTGGTGTCAAGACAGGGGCCTAGCAGGTACGTTTGATGGAGTCATACATGGGGAGTAGACCTTACTTTACTTACTTAATCCTCATCACTCGCTGTGGAGTATAGGGCAACAACAAATCTCCGCCATTCCACTCTGTCTTGAGCGAGCCACTTTAGTTCATGCCAGGTCTGCACTTCTTCTTCCATCTCTCTCCTCCATGTTCCCAGTGGTCTTCCTCTATTTCTCTTTCCGGGTGGGTTCCACTTCAGCGCCATGTTGGGGAGTCTTCTTTTGCTCATTCGTAGGACATGGCTCAGTCATCTCCATCTCCTCATTCGAACTTCTGAAACAATGTCGTTTAATCCTGTCCGTAGCCATATTTCCTTGTTCGGGACTTTGTCGTCCCACTTCATCCTGAGAATAGTTAGATGAATCTTCTTTCAAAGCCTCTTAGGCGGCTCTCTCCTTTCTTGTTTAGTTTCCATGACTCTGCAGCATAGAAGAGTACAGAACGTACATTAGACTTGTAGATCCTTATTTTTGGTTCTCTACTGCAGTGAAGATGATTTCCAGATCTTAGCGAGTCTGTTGAAAGCTTGCGCTGACATTGCTATTCTGGTGGCCATTTCTTTCTCTATGCTGCCATTTGCTGATATATAGCTGCCGAGGTACTTAAAGTCTTCGACCTCTTCTAGATCTGCTCCATTCGCAAAGGACTTGAGAGCACTTTTGGTTTTTATTTTCATAGACCTGGCGTTGTTTTATTGTGTCTAGTTTTTTATTGGTGTCAAATTGCTAGTGTCAAGTTGTGTGTTAGTGTCAAGTTGTGTATTATTGACGAGTTTCACCGGCAACAATTGTCTGAAAATAAAAACGGTACAGAGTTGGACCGAAATACTTTGATTTTAGTTAACCCAACTTTCATTTAGAGTTTAGAGGTACGGGTGTGATGTGTTTTAATAAGCCGGTTATCTTGTGGAATGTATTGGTTTATTTGCAGATAACATTTATTAATTTCTTAGAAAACATATAAGGATGTGAATGGAAATAGGTTAAGGAATACGTCTCTGCACAATTTTGGATTTAGACATTGTTTAAGGTTAAAAACAATTATGTTTGAACTTACGGCTTTTACAAATTTAAGAATTTAGGTTACAATTTAGGATGTTGGTTTGATTTACTTATTGCAGGTTTACAATCGGGACAAAACAAAACCATATATTAAGGGTTTAGTTTTGGGTTACGTTTAGGTTCTAGATTTCTTATAACGGGCCATACAGATGTCAACAGATTATCGAAGAATATCTCTAATCAATACTCAGTCTGAAGTTAACATATTTGTAGAAACGTTTTTTATTCAGGAAAGTGGGAAGAAAGGAGTGGGGGCATTTCTAAACTAGAGCTATATGCTATAAATTTGAATAACTTCTAAAATATTTTATATTGTTTTATATTAAAAGTGTACTCATTTTTGTTATAACTGAAATATGGCGTATTTTTATTAAGGGTCATTTGGTTGAAATATATTCGAGTACCTTTGGTGAAAGAGTACATGCATTGCATCAGCACCATAGAGTACTTGTGTCGAACCCCCGAATAAAACTAATTGATGTAATTTTTTTATTCCTTTTCTAGACTCACGTGCTTCACGTCATTTGACCAACGATCACATAAAAAATAGTTCAAGTACAACAAACAACAGGCCTCACACAAATACAACTAAAGATGAACCGTCTTATAAACTGAAACTTGAGGCCTTGGAGGAGGAAAAGAACCAACTTTTAGAGAGAATTAAAGAGCTGGAAACTTGCCAAGCCCAGAGACATGTTGAGGTCTCAGTACCTGTGGGTAAACTACAACACGCTCTGATGCTGGGATGTTTTGGTAGTTTTGACGACTGTCGTGTCAGCTACAACCGACTGACCAAACTGGCCACCATACGGGGGAAGGAGGCCGATGTGAGTAACCAGATACGTAAGATTGTCACTGAGGTGAAGCGGATAAAAACAGCCAAAATATTTTTAACGGAGTTGATGCTGCAACTGTTGTCGACACAGAAGGCGTGGTGTGTCCTGGGTGATTTGACCCACTTGGGGCAGGTGAAGTACATGTTAAAGACACATTATCTGCTGCTTGCTAGTAACGATGATGTCGTATTGCACCGCGCGATGACTCATCTTCTTCGTATTTTAAATCACAAAGTTGTTGCAAGGTCCACTGAAGCGATATTAATAGACACGTTGACGTCATTGAAAGATCACTTAGAAAAAGATCTTTTAGTTCGAGTTACGTGGAATGTGGAAAAGACGGAAATTTATTTGGAAGGTCTGGAGGAAGATGTGCTGATCTCTAGGAGACAAACCCAAACGTTGATTGGTGACCATCTAGAATATGAAACAACACATCACATGCTACAGTGTACGTACCTACAAAAGTTTCACCAATCGGCGTTGTTCAAACTATTCAGGGAGACAGAAGAAACCAATCCCTTGTGTTGTAGGCCTGATACTGCTGTTGTATCGTTTCATACCTTCATGCACCTGGCTGATGACGTCATCACCAGGACCTGGAATCTGCACACTCTCTGTGGTCAGCTCATGACAGATGTCATTCTTGTCATTCGGGGATTCCAAGATGAACTTATTCAGGAGAACATTTCTGAGTTCCAGTCTAAGGAAAAATGTGTTGTGACGTCAAATGTTTCAGACTTTCTCCGTGATGAAGACGTCAAACCTGATGATAAAGACGTCAAGCCTGTTGATGACGCTGTTAAACCTGACGATAAAGACTTCAAATTTGTCCGAAATCAAGCAGGTTTAGCACATAGTTCTAGTTTGTTTAAAGATTTCAACACAGTGAAAATAAAATGTGGCTGTATTGATGAGGAAAACACTGACGTGATTGTGTATCAGTGGAATGATGCTGCGTGCCCGAGTGTTTCGGCTGATGTCGTTAAAATGTGTCAAGCAGAAAGACAAAAAAATCCTAAGGCTATAATCTTTATCCTAGCCAAGCAACTGAGCACAGACTTTAGTTATGTTACGTGTACAAGACTTGGTTCTAATTCCAGGTCAGATCTGGTGACTGTCTACAAAACGATCCTGGATAAGGTGCTGGAGCTTGGCGCCACGTCTGTAGCAGTTCCTGCCCTCACCTTCACGGAACTTCCTGTTGACGATGTGATCCTCATCGCACGGAGGACAATCAATCGTTACATAACTCTCAGACCTATCGATGTACACATTGTCATCGACGACAAAGATACATTCCTTAAACTGAACGTACCAACAGCAAATGATGTTTCACTAGAAGAGAAGGGTTGTGAATATGAAATTGTTCCTGTGTTAAATATAGATCCACGAATACTTCCTGAGGTGTCTATTACCGCAGACAAAAACACGGATCTAGATTCAGTTATGGTGAGACTTTGTGGCCAGATTTTTCATAAATGTTTGTATACAAGTGAAGTCAGTAGCAGCGCCATCAATTTCTGGCCAGATGGGCTACACAACATGCTCGTAGAGAGATGCAAATCTTTGACAGTTTGTCTCAAGCTTGTCTCTGATCAAACTACAATTACATGCAAACTGAAAGGGTTGCAGAAAGATGTAGAGCTGATAAAATCTTTGATTGACGCCGAGGTTCAAAAAGTGTCTGACGCCTTACAGAAACACGCCATCGCTACCTACAAGACCCACCAGCGTCACCGAGTGACTTTCTTAAAGTATGCCTCTGGTGTTGACGAGATCTGCCCGTCATACTGGACTCTGTTCAACGATAAAACTTTCTGGAGGGGCGTGGTCAATCACCCGGACCAAGCGGTAGATCTGAAGTCCAGACAATCGTACCTGATAGATGTCGATGACGTCACGCGGCAAGCGGTGTCCGATCTTGTCTTAAAGACGTGGGATCTAAACCACGCCGGAGAAGGCCGTGACGCCGCGGGGTTGGAGGACAACACGGGAATCCACATCGTCAACGTCCAGAGGTATGAGAGCCTCCAGACATTCCAGCGCTACTCACACAGCAGGAAAAGTTTGTTTAGCAAAATGTCGGAAAGTGGGAAACTGTGCTGCGACTTGTCTAAGATTTTGCCAGGCCATCAAATCAAAACCACCAAGCTACTGGGCAGTGTGTTGAGCCAAGAGCTGTACAGCGAGATCAACGAGCATTTTCTCTTCTTTGGCATCAAGCCAGGGCTGGCTGACGCCCTAAGGACGGGGAGTCTCAGCCCGCTGTTCTCTACATCCGGGATCTTAGGGCGGGCTCTTTATTTCGCTGAGGAGTCAACCAAATCAAACCAACATACAGACCTAACTCCTACCAGGAAAGGTAATGTACGACATAGTGTGTGCAGTATTAAACTGCATGGCTATACAAACAACAGCGCTCTCTCTTTCTCTCTCCATATATATATATATATATATATATATATATATATATATATATATATATATATATATATATATATATATATATATATATATATATATATATATATATATATATATATATATATATATATATAGCACAACCCAGTCACATTGGATACACCTTAGAATCAGATAAACATTTTGTTTTCTAACAGAGCCTACAGTATGTCGCCAGCCACCAGGAACTGAGTTGTATTTGTGTCTGGTTCGAGTCCTGCTGGGAAATCCATACGTTATTGACAAGAAGCATAGGAGAGTGACTTCTGGTGGTATGTATAGTTTTGGTGTTGAGATTTAGTGGTATTTTTGTCATGTTTTTTATATTTCGTAGTTTTGTGTATGTTGATGACATGTTGTGGAATGTTCGAAACTTATAAATATATTTTTCTCATGCATATCCCCGAACATTTGAAACTGTTCTACTTCTATTTTCACGTGCTATTGTGTGTGTTCCATGCTCATGTGCTGTGTGTGTTCTACACCCATGCTCATGTGCTGTGTGTGTTCTACACCCATGCTCATGTGCTGTGTGTGTTCTACACCCATGCTCATGTGCTGTGTGTGTGTTCTACGTCCATGTTCATGTGCTGATGTTGTGTTTTCTACGTCCATGTTCATGTGCTGTGTGTGTTCTACGTCCATGTTCATGTGCTGATGTTGTGTTTTCTACGTCCATGTTCATGTGCTGTGTGTGTTCTACGTCCATGCTATTGTGCCTATGGTGTATGTGTTCTACGTCCATGCTCATGTGGTGTGTGTGTTCTACGTCCTTGCTCATATGCTGTGTGTGTTTTGCCCAGGCGATCGTTTCACCGGCCCCCCATGTGTCAAGTGTGAAGACGAGACGTGCACTAAAAACCATCCCATGTATGACTCGATCATTCTTGACGATGACGGCTTGATGTTCAGGAAATTTGTCATTTACAATGAGAATTGTTGTTATCCTGAATACTTAATTACATACAGGAGAGAGGTATTTGTGTGACATGATAACATACATAATAACATACAGGAGAGAAGTCCTCGTCTATGGAATCACGTGACTTAATTACATACAGACGGTCGCCGCTAAAGCAGCCTGTAACCTTATTACATACATACAAATATCCGTTGCTGAAGACAAACTGTAACTTTACAACTCACAGACGAATGAAACAAATAAATGGCTGATGTTACTAAATTCAATATAGACTAACGTGAACCTTAGTGGGATGTTGTGACCCTACAATGTACAGAGTGATCTCAATAAGTGAAAGAAACCTGATAGTGTTGAAACCTTACAGTATTACCTCCTTAACTGATATCACTAAAATATAATTAAGGCAGGTATAAAATTTAATATTATGATAATTGTTGTGCAAAATGGGATAAGCGCAGTTTTGTTAAAATAAAAACCACACAGACATAATAGGAATGGAATAAATATTTATTTAGTTTTTGGGGTCCACAATCCTCCTGTATTTGATGACGTACTCAGGGTAGCACTGATCCCTGTCGTAGACCACGAACTCACGGAATTGAGCGCCCCCATCTAACATGACGGAGTCGTACAGGACCTGGTTAGGACATGAGCACCTGTCCTTCTGGCATTGAACACACGGTGGTCTGGTCAGTTTCTCAGGGCCTGATACAATAGATATCGTCAGTTAGGTGAGAAGCTACTTTTTACATAAACAATGCTCAAACACAACACAAAAACAACACAAACACAACACAAACACAACACAAACACAACACAAACACAACACAAACACAACACAAACACAACACAAACACAACACAAACACAACACAAACACAACACAAACACAACACAAACACAACACAAACACAACACAAACACAACACAAACACAACACAAACACAACACAAACACAACACAAACACAACACAAACACAACACAAACACAATACAAACACAACACAGCACAAACACAAAAGAAAACATGCCGCGCCTGATTCAGTGAATGACTATAAAACCCCCAGCTTGTCCGCAAACCGAAAGATAGAATAATAAATAATAAGCAGTACATTCAGTGTATAAAATAAATAAAAGGCAGTATTTAAAATATCCGAGCACTTTATCGATTCATGCATTTTTTTTTCAATTCTTTAAAGTAAATAAACCGGGAGTGATCTCCCCTAAACTTTCTCGAATATTCTAATATAACTTGGAATATAGACATGATTTTTAATTACTTAAACTTTTAAAAATAGAATAGAATCTCATAGAAAAAAGAATTGCGCACCAAGCGAACGCCAAAACAAGATGTGCATAATAGTGCTCAATATTATTAGTACTTTATAAATTTACATGCGTTTTTTGAGAAACGGAAATAGCGTAATTTAGTACTTCCGGTCAACGGAAATTACTCAAAATTTGAAAGAAGGTAGAGAATTAGATCTTTTACTTACATGTGAAATTTCATTTATCTATCTGAAATACTACTCAAGTTATAGGCTTTTGAAAAATTCAAAGTAGAAAAAGTACCACTTCCGGTTATCGGAAATCGCTCAAAAGTTGATCAGTATTTACGATTTTGATAAAATACATATATGAAATTTCATCAACCTAGCTGTAACGGTACTCAAGTTATCATGTTTACACACAGACAGAAACACAGACACACAGACAGACACAGAGACATACGGACAAGATTGCAAAATTATGTTGTTCCGTATCAGTGAGGTGTGATTTTTTTTTTTTTTTGCACGATTACAAGACTTTCTCTATACTTCGTTTATACGAGAAAGTTAAAAAAAATCACAATAGAGTTTCATGAGTTAAACGATTGCGCACCTAATGAATGTGATGACACGTATATAATGTTGAGGAATAGTTGATCAAAAAATATCATTAGTAGACAGTGCGTTCAGTGAATAAAATAAATAAAAGATAACCTTTTATCAATCCATGCTAATTATAATATTCCAACAGTAATGTCCTCTTACACGTCTACAGAATTTGCATTCACATTTTGCTAATTACATTATTCCAACAATAATTTCGTCTTGGAGATTTTGCATTCCCATTTTTTAATTAGCGTGAGTTGAATTTATTTTTAAATTACCTCCCTTCGCTAAATTACAAAAGAGCTTATTTAATTAGTTTTTTATTAAAATGTATTCATTTTTTCTAGTAATCCAAACGAAAATAATATTTGACATTGATCCATTTAATATGTTTTAGCAATGTGCGTGTATTTAATATTTTCTTTACGTGTAAGAGTAAAAACAGTGACAACTATAAAATAAATTTAAGTCGTTATATAAACAAACTCTACTCTATTACTTATAATAAGACACTGCGATGCAAGTAAAAAGCACGACACATGATGTGTTTATATATATATATATATATATATATATATATATATATATATATATATATATATGTGTGTGTATATTGCTTTATTGTTATATTTAAATCATATATATAACAATTCAGACGTTTACTGCTATTTCTTGTTTACTATGTTGACTGAACTTATGTTCGTGTTGAATCAGATGCATTACTTTAATAAAAACCATCCTATAACATTCTCGGTGTAATAGTTTTATATTTTCGATGGGTTTTTTTTTAATAAATTATCCGTGGCCTCTACATGCCGTCTAGGGTCATATGGTATTCTGTACATGTGCCAAAAGTTGTGTATTAACGCTTTTTCTTGTGTACTCGAATGACTTATTTCTTCCCCAATCTGTCTTGTCTTGTATACGCTCAAGGCCGACGTGATACAACGTTATAAGAACATTACAAGATAATTTTAATGCTAAATACAATTTTAAATGAAGCTAGGTATGAAATAAATCACTCAACCTGTGATGTACGGGCTATTCCGAGATATGACGTATACGTCTCCTAGCAACACGCGCATTAACAGCAGGACGCCATCTTGTCCACGTGATGTTTGAGAGTCTGTGGAAATAAAGACATAAAGACAAATTAAAGAAATACTACAAATCAAAAAATTGATTATGTTCACTAATTGGGGTTGTGTGAACATCAACAAAAGCTGACGTGTGAATGGGGGCTCGCCAAAGATCAAACTTGAATGAACAACATAAAACCTACCAGTGTACTGGTCAGAAAAAAACCTACCCGTGTACTGGTCAGAAAAAACCTACCCGTGTACTGGTCAGAAAAAACCTACCTGTGTACCAGAAAAAACCTACCTGTGTACCAGAAAAAACCTACCCGTGTACTGGTCAGAAAAAAACCTACCCGTGTACTGGTCAGAAAGAACCTACCTGTGTACCAGAAAAAAACCTACCTGTGTACCAGAGAAAACCTACCTAAGTACCAGAGAAAACCTACCTAAGTACCAGAGAAAACCTACCCGTGTACTGGTCAGAAAGAACCTACCTGTGTACCAGAAAAAAACCTACCTGTGTACCAGAGAAAACCTACCTGTGTACCAGAGAAAACCTACCTGTGTACTGGTCAGACTTGGTGACCATCTCTGCTGTATAAATGCCTTTACCCAGCATACAATGGGACCCACCGACCCGAGGGTCAAGTCCATTATTGAGAACAGCGTCCACAAGATTTGCCTTGGTGCCGTGAAACAGGTAGTGCTCGTTAATCTCAGTGTACAACTCTTTCTTCATGAACCGTTGTATGACGTCAGTGGTTCTAACGGCACCCCTGGAGCCTAGCAGCTGATCTACGGGCTTACACAGACGTCTCTTTGAGTACATGGACTCACACATCCGCTTCCGTTTGTCGTTGTAGATCTTAAACAGCCGTTGGTTCTCTACTCTCTGCACGCTGACAACTTGTATGGAATTATGACGTAGTCCGCGAGCATCTCGACCCACGCCGATGGACGACTGGTCGAAGGTTTGAAACACCAGGTCAGTGATCGCTTCTCGTGTGATTCTGCCGACGTAAACCAACGGATGCGTCGAGTCTAGACTTATAGAACTACTTCCGGCATCCATGTTGCAGCGCCAATAGGGCGGGACATCGTCTTTCTGGGCAGCGAGCCCCAGAAACTCCACTGTCCCCCTTGGCATTGAAAGAACAGGTTTAACTTTGGCCCACAACATCTGACCAACACAGCTATACAGCTCGGACAGCCGTGTGTTGCTGTACAAAGCTGTTTCGTGTCTGTTGTCAAATATGAGCGTGATGTTTGGACCGTGGGTGTCGATGACGCACTCAATCTCTGGCTCTAGCTCGTCCAGGGAGGGTCTGATTACATTTGTTGAGATCATTTTCTTGACTTGCTGCAACTTTTTCCTGTCAGGAAATTCTTGTTCCAGTTTAACACGATAAGTGACCAGCTGTTGCTTCATAGTTTCCAACAGTGTTTGGGCCAGTTTCACGTGTTTTGCTTTCCCCTGGAAGCTTATATAAATACTGTCGTCTGTTTGTATATGTTTTAAAACTTCTACTTTTGTAAGCTGTTCCTGCATTTTTTCAGATGAAAATCTGTTTAAAAATTTAGACCATGGTTGTTTTACTTGAAAAACCGAAGAAGTTTTTTGTTTCGCCGAGTTTCTTGAGGTCGGTCTGTGTTGAGTGGCTGGCGATCTAGCACGAACCTGTGCTGTGTATGAAACGACGGGGTGGGCTCCAAACTTGATTTGTACTTGGCATGGGCTAGCTTTTTTGTCGGTAGTGTTCGAGCCTGGTGGCGCATGTGTGGGTGAGGGCAGTGATGGATGTATTTGTGAGGGCAGTGATGGATGTATTTGTGAGGACAGGGACGTCTGTAGGCGAGCCAATCGTTCCACACGAAGCCACTGTCTATGGGAGGAACTTTTGCTCCAGAACACGAAAAGTTTGAGCTTTTTACCAACGGATTGTTGAGGAGTTGCTGCATTTTGTTCATTGCCTGTATCTTCTGGGTGGATTTTGTTTTGTGTGTTTAAATGTGGAGGACGTTTTATTATAGACACGGTCGCTCCCATGTTGCCAGTGTTTTCACTCTGAAAAAAGTAAAGTAAAAGCATAGTGTTGGCCTTTTAGATAAGAAATTGTCAGCGTATATTTAACAAATGTATACAACCGCTCATGAAACTAACCTAACTAAGGCAATATAACTGAGAAAGTTGTTTCTGATAACGTTATAACTTTTGGTAACTCTTGTGTGAGTATCAACTAATGATCTCTACGGACATTGGCAGCCTATAAAACTGTAACTTTAGCTCATTACCTGTACACTGATTAAGCCATTAACACACAATACAGTTACATCCTGGAGCTGACTTAATGTTGAGGACGCGGGTTGACCAACACACTTACTCGTGTGTGTTAACTACTACACACGTTCAATGTTACGTCATTCGCGGAATTTAAAAAAAATCAGAAGCGGCAATTACACGCAGAGAAATTTACATTGACACCATTGAATCAACATTGATATTATCGATTTGAGTTGTATTGAAATCGTCGCTAATAATGTCTCTGCCTTAGTTTTGTCTGTTTGCTGTGTAGAGAAGTGCCAGCCAAGTCCTAGAGGGCATTCAGCATTACTGGCACCATTCCAGCTCAGTGTCGCTCTACTGCACCTAGTCACGAGAGACACATTACACACACGAGGCGTCTGTCAGTGACATGTCAGTACCGTGGCATAACTGACACGTGACATCTCTGACATAAGTCAGAAGTTTTACTGTCTTGACCACTGGACACTGTTACATACATTCAGACCGATTGATCTTCACTTCTTCTACTGTAGGATTTAGGTTGATTAATTTAAATTAGCTTCTTGTAAGATGATAAAATATTCTTAGACACTGATAAATACCCATACGGAAATACACACACACATTCATATATATATATATATATATATATATATATATATATATATATATATATATATATATATATATATATATATATATATATATATATATATATATATATATATGAACTTACCGTCTAGCTAGTGAATGAAAACAACATGCCTAAGTCGACTCAATCAAGTGACACTTGAAACTGCCTGTAATTGTCATGGCGTCTCTGTCGATCGGGAAATTCCAGTTTCTATTCCCTAAAATTTCTTCGAAAAAATCTGTTTCTATATCAATAAAAACGTTTTTAAAATTGTCTATCAAACAAATCTGTTGAAATTTAATGTGATGTGTAAATTAATTAACTTGTTTAAGTTATCAGTAGCCCAATTAAACACTCTTTAACAATTTTAACAGTTACGTGGTCGGGTTAGGGAATTTGTGGCAGCTTCTGTGAATTCTAACACTTCCTCGAACTTTGGACTGACAAAACATTTTTAGCGTTAGGGGGATATGGTTATCTAACGATGAGACTCTGATTCAGACTCAGTACAACGTAGGCGCTATAAATAGAAGCGAAATTACGCCGTTTTTAAAAACCATTTTCAACCTTTATACAATGTTAATCGCTGATATATCAAACAACTAAATCATAATTTTTACTGTGTGCAAAGCGTATCCAGCAAATAAATTTTATATGAAAAATATACAGAATGTTATAATGTGTGTAACAATTAAAACGTAATGTATTATGTATTTACTACTAAATAAAACTGTAGAACAACCTTTGGAAAAAGTAATTCGTTTGACTTATACTAGTTCACAAGCAAAATTTGTATCTTCAAACCTCTCAGAAGTTAGAACATTCAATCGTCGTGATCTAAGGGCTCGATAATATAGTTAATGACGTCACTACTCTTTGCCTACATTTTATATGTTAGACCATGTAGACGACTTGTAATGTTTTATACAGTATAACCAACTTATGTGTTACAAATGGGGCCAACTTGTTATGGTTTATTAAATGTGGCCGAATTGTTATGTTTTATTCAATATGTCAACGTATATGTTACCCAATATGACAGCCTGAATACACTGTTATTTTGATCTTAGCCAACACATATTTTGTCACGTCGCTGTTCTATTGACTTTAAGTGTGCTTAAGTCGTGTTGTGTTACAGCTGATGCGGCTAAAATAAAATTCCGACTAAGCCAAAATAATATGCTGACAAGGCCAAAATAAAACGTGGACACAGTTTAATTGTGCGGTAAATAGAAGGCCCCTTACTTTAGTTAGTAAGTTTTAATTATTTCATGCAAGATTAATTACGCATCCAATTAAGTCAAATTTGATGTCAGATTGCATTGTCATCGTGTCTTGAACAACGTAATAAGTAAGAAACGAATCGGTCACTTAAAAGTGCTCGAAATTTCGCTCATCAGTTTCGATATCTGACGACAGAAGAAGTTAGTTAATTAAAAACTTGTAATAAAAACTAAAATATATAGGGGAACAAGTTTTTAAAATACACATAATTAAACTGGAATGTAACATGACAACCTATAGTATTTTTAATCAATTTATTTTGTAAAACATTGCAACAACATAGTGACAACAAAATTAGTGTACAAAAACAAGTGTATTTGTACAGGCTTATACTTAGGTCGTAATGTCCGTCTATTTGTCAGCCTGTCTGAGATAAGTTGATAATTTGTCGTCAAATATTATAACAAAATGTTCACCTAATTCTCATTCAACTTTTGAGAAAAATAAATAAAAGCATTAGTCGCAAAAAAATATTTCAGTGACCATTTAATTAAAGAGAGAAAGTACTTTTATTTTCTTTTATAATGTCAGTCAGACAGATACACAATCAGACGTATAGATATACAGAAAGGCAGACATCCACACGATCTCAAATTCCAGCCAATCAAACGTTTCTTCCATTATTTTCTTTTAATGTAACGTTAAACGCCCCCCCCCCCCCCTCCCATTGCTTGACAAACAAATCAGTGGTTCAATTAGGCAGTGATCTCATGTTCTAATACAGCAATTTTTTGGGATCCACAATCCTCCTGTATTTGATGACGTACTCCGGATAGCACTGGTCCCTGTCGTAGACCACGAACTCACGGAATTGAGCGCCTCCATCTAACATGACGGAGTCGTACAGGACCTGGTTAGGACATGAGCACCTGTCCTTCTGGCATTGAACACATGGTGGTCTGGTCAGTTTCTCAGGGCCTGGTACAACAAACACAAGAACACTGTGAGACGTTGTGTCATATATCTCGCTCCATATCTAACATAAAACCTAATGCTAGCTTGTTTGCTCGTGTGTTTCTTAAATTGTTTAGACAATAAATATGAAGGCAAGTTATTTAACTAAATCAATCTCTATACTACTAAAACTCAAGTTTGTTTACATGTTTAAATATTTATTTGTTTTTTTTTTTTGTTTTTTTTGTTTGTCTGATTGCGTAATGGAGAGAATCTGCACTATGTGTAGAGCTGTAAAATAGTATGTAGGTAGAGAACAATTTTTGTTTTCAGACAAATTTATTTAAAGATGTTAATTAATTTATTGATTTATTCATTGGTAGATTAACCACATTAATTTTAAAAGTTTAGAAAAACGACTTTGATTGAGTGAATAGTGACGTCACATGATTTGTTTAATTTTAGTACAATAAATGGCGGCTGCAATACAAGATTTCTTATTTTATTCAGATCTTTAACGCGTTATACAGCTAATTTTCTGTCTGCTATAAATTTAACAATATGTCCGTTTGCTGTTTTTATTATGTTTATAATTTTCAACAGTTCTTTTTATTTTAGTATACAATAAATTTCTCTAGATCTAGAATCTACAAATCAGCTGTCGAAGGAAGGAAAAGTTATAGATCTAGAAAAAAAGTAAAATATATTAGTAGTTACGTCCGTTATTCTACAAGCCAAGATAGATAAGATGTTAGTGTATTAAGTTTCCATGCGTGTGGCATGGGCTCGAGACACATCATGTCAATGTTAATTTTTTTTCAATTTTCTTTTAGATGTGAATGATAAAGTTGTCTATCAGAACTTTGCGGGATACAGGGCAGGTGAGTTAGAGTTCACCTGTTTCTGTGTGATCAGCATATGAAGGGATAGTGTAGTCAGAGCCATGCTCGGCCGAAATATTTTTTAACGATAAAAACATGTTGTCTTAGACTTGTGGGACACTGAGCAGGTGAAGTAGAGTTGGGTATGTGTAGAGTTCATCTGTGACGTCAGCATATGAAAGGATACTGTGGTCAGGCCCATGCTCTGCCGAAATCGGTGTTTTTAAAGGACAAAAACGTCTGAGGTGTGTCATCTTTTTTAATGTGGGTTCTGGTTATTTTGTGATGGTAAGTGACAGACGTGATGTCATTTATGGATGACCCACCAAAAACCACAGTTATCTAATGATAACGGGTGGTCTAGTAAACTTTAAAATTCGACAATTTGAAATATCTCTTTAAGTATTATTGGGAAAATATTATTTTCTGAAGAATATAATATTATAATAGACTAATGGACTAAATATAATCCTACAGTTTCTAAATAAGAAAAGCTGGGTGTGACCTGTGATGTACGTGCTATTCCTAGATATGACGTACACATCTCCCAGCAACACACGCGTCAAAAGTAGGACGCCATCTTGTCCACGTGATGTTTGGGTGTCTGGAAATATTGGTCATTGAGACATTCAAAAGTAAAACACGATGTATCAAGTTCAAAGTTGGGAGGGGGGGGGGGGGAGAAAGCATTTTTTAAAGTTGAAGTCCGATGATTATATTCATAAGCGTGCCGAGATTTTAACAAAAGTGTCAATACAGTTTTAAAGTGAATGAAGAACATAAAACCTACCCGTGTACTGGTCAGAAAAAACCTACCTGTGTACCAGAGAAAACCTACCTGTGTACTGGTCTGACTTGGTGACCATCTCAGCTGTATAAATGCCTTTACCCAGCAGACAGTCCGACCCACTGACCCGTGGGTCAAGTCCATTATTGAGAACAGCGTCCACAAGATTTGCCTTGGTGCCGTGAAACAAGTAGTGCTAGTTGATTTCCAGGCACAACTCTTTTTTCATAGAAGGTTTTATAACGTCATTTGTTCTAACGGCGCCCCTGGAGCCTGGCAGCTGATCTACGGGCTTACATAGACGTCTCTTTGAGTACATGGACTCACACATCCGCTTCCGTTTGTCGTTGTAGATCTTAAACAGCCGTTGGTTCTCTACTCTCTGCACGCTGACAACTTCTATGGAATTATGACATAGTCCGCGAGCATCTCGACCCACGTCAATGGACGACTGGTCGAAGGTTTGAAACACCAGGTCAGTGATCGCCTCTCGTGTGTTAGCCATCACGTCAACGAGTCTGAATGAAGTATTGCCATCATTTGTTCGATAGCTCCAGTAAGATGGGACATCATCATTCTGAGCAGCGAGCCCTAATATCTCAAGTGACCCTAACGGCCTGGCTAAAACAGGTTTAACTTTGGCCCACAACATCTGACCAACACAGCCATACAGCTCGGACAGCCGTGTGTTGCTGAACAAAGCTGTTTCGTGTCTGTTATCAAATATGAGCGTGATGTTTGGACCGTGGGTGTCGATGACGCACTCAATTTCTGGCTCTAGCTCGTCCAGGGAGGGTCTGA